TTTGACCTGTGAGGTGTACAGGTCCTCCATGGAGGGCAGGCTCACACCAATAACCTTTTCTGCAGTCCTGACTGTCTGCTGACGTGTCAAGGGGCACAGGTGGATGATACGTTGTTTTTCATAATGAAACATCTTCCAGACTCTTAAAATCAATGCAATGTAAATTATAAAAATTATTTATTCTTTCTGTGCGGCCCGGTAACAAATGCCTCACGACCCGGTGGTTGGGGACCACTGTTCTAGGGGACTTTAACAGAGCAAATCTCACCCACGAACTGCCAAAATACAGACAGCACGTCACCTGTCCCACCAGGGACAAAGTCACACTGGACCACTGCTACACAACAATAAAAGACGCCTATCACTCTGTCCCCCACAGCCCTCGGACTCTCTGATCACTGTATGGCTCATCTTATTCCAACCTACAGGCAGAAACTTAAAGCTGTGAAGCCTGTGGTAAAAGCAGTGAACAGATGGACTGAGCAGGCAAAGTCAGAGCTACAGGCCTGCTTTGAATGCACAGACTGGAGTGTATTTGAGCTACAGCTACAGACCTGGATGAACTCACTGACACTGTGACATCTTATATCAGCTTCTGTAAGGATGTGTGTGTGCCCAGAAAGACCTTCTGCACATACAACAACAAGCTCTGGTTTACAGCAAGACTCAAGCAGCTTCGTCGTGCCAAAGAGGAGGCCTACAGGACTCTGTACAGCCAGGCCAGGAACACAGTGACAAGGGAAATCAGAGCAGCAAAGAGGAGCTACTCTGGAAAGCTGAAAGCTCAGGTTTCAGCCAATGACCCCTCATCTGTGTGGAGGAGCCTAAAAAGCATCACTGGCTATAGGAAACCACCACCACCACCACCACCCTAGCAGAACTGATAACTAGCCTGGAGCTAGAACATCCCAAATCTCCACTCATTGTTCTATGCTACACAATGTGTTAATTACTACTTATTTAATAATTGTTAGGATTGCTCACTCACAGAGACGAAGTGAGCAGACAGACTGGACTCAGGAGTCAGACTCACAGTTTAAGGCAAGTGGTTTATTTAGAATAACAGCAGGTGATGATAGTCCAGAATCTTAGGGCTGGTGAGATACAGTGATCAGGGACTCGTCAGTTCACGGGAGGAGTAGATTAACCGGTGGTTCACAGCAAGGAGAGGAGGTGAGTGTGACAGGCGGAGGTCTCAGGTCTTGACAGGATAGGCAAGAGAGGCATAGTGTAGCTTGGATGTAGCGGTCTGAGGCAGCAGATTCTAACAACAGGGAGGACAGGAAAGAATGAGTGAAGCAGAAGGGTGGCAGTCTGACTGGCCTGAGAGCTGAGGAGGATGACGCCTGTCCAGGGAGACGAGGATGAGGGAACTGGTAGATGGAGGAGACCCAAAGATATGTGGTGTCAGAGATCTTACTGAAAGGTTTCAATAATAAGAGCCAACATGTTGCGGCAGTAGTCCACAACATACTGGTCCTGGAGAAGCCTGGAGTCTTAAGTAGGATGTGGCTGATAGGTAAGCGGTCCCAGCTGTGTAAGTCAGCACAGGTGTGTGCCACGCCCAAGACAGATTGCCAGCAGAAAGGAGAGAGAGAGGGAGAGAGGCAGGTGGAGCAGAGCAAACCTGACAATAATTACATGTTTATTTAATACTGCACTCTCTGGGGCTCCATAATTAACTGAACTCTCCCCTTCTCCAGACAAGATCCCAAAGGAATTGACCCCGACCACAAGCAGCCCCCACCAGCCCAGCAGTCCAGCAGGTGAGAGCTTAGCTACGTGGACCAATTTCTCAGCAGGGAATTAAATCCCTAAACTGTAAGCGATGATAAAATGTTATATATACAGTAAATCCAATACTATATTCTGTATCTCAAACAATGACAAACATTGTTGCACTGATTTATTTATTTTCTACCGTGTATCACTGCCTGGTCTCATGCTTGGAGCAAGAAACCTGTACAGTACACACACACGCAGTATATAGTTAGCTCATATTAAATTGTCTGGGACTTCTGAGAATGCTAACTTTGTTTAAAATATATTTTAAATATAACTTTTGGTGACCACAGACACAGTACACTTCTGTGCGCAGCCAGGTGTCGCTGGGCGCACTGTGGACGAGAGGCAGATACATTGTTAGAGGGAGGAATCCGTGGAGAGCAGGTGGAGTCATGCTGGCTTTAGTTCTGTCCAATCAAACCAGCTGCTCTCAGCCCCTTCACAGAGCAGGGAAACCTGACTGACTGATGTCACTGATGGATGAAATACACGAGAGGAAAAATCCTTGACTTGTATTTACTTCTCCGGTCAGTTATGCACTCTATTCCAAAATTGTGGTGGCAAAAATATGGTGTTTACTGTAGAAGTACTGCACATAAATCTTCACTCAGCAGTCTGCTAACATCTCTAAATGGCTTTTGTGCATGGAAGGAGAAGGTCTCTGATCCTGTAACCAGCAGCTGTTAGTGTAATCCAGCATGTGAAATGCACAGGGGCCTCAGCATTATTTGCATTTAAGCTTATAATCGCCTAAATGCTTTTAAAATAATACACTAACATCATATTGTGGTGGTTAAACTGATTGCAGTCCTGGCACAGCCAGTGGATGCGTCACTCGCTTTAGCTCTGCTTATAGCTGTTTTCAAAGCTGATCAAAACATCATAAAAAACAAAAATATGAAGAAAGTATATCTCTGTGGTAGTAATGAAGTTGTCTGTGTGAAACGTGACCGTTTCAGGAAATTGTAACTGAACAATGACAGCAGAGTGAAGTCGGACTGATCTTAGCTGCTGCGTAGTATTACTGTTGAGACACCAGCAGGGTATTTGTTATTTATCATGAGCTGCTTTCATGCTATTTTGTGTGTGTAATTATTTAATGTGGATTTGATGTCTGATCTGTATCTTTATTTTTCTATTCTAATGTACAGTATCATGTAACACCAGCTGCAGAGCACCTCTGGCTGTGCCCTGTAAGGACAGGTGGTGCATCCTGATGTTCGATAACACTGTTTGACCATATTCATATCTACAGCCACATACTGATGACTAGTTTATCTTATTTAAAAATAATCTTTCTAAATTGTCACACATATTTCACAATTCAGATAATGCCACAGTGAACCATTCAGAGTGAATTCTGGATTTAATGGTTTATTTTAAGTTGGTGTGGCCATTAAAATACATCTGGGTACCCGATGTCCTGCTTCCCAGCTTATGTGCTTTTCAGGAAAATCGCAAATACACCTGTGACTGCATTAAGAAATGGTCTGAGCAGGTGTTTTCACTATTTCGGGTCAAAATGAGCACCAAAATTGCACCGTGCTGCCTAATCAGCATACATATGGCCTCACCTGCTCCTCTTCTCCCACCAAATACACCAATGCACAAGAATACGTTGGCATGCACACAAGGAAAACTGCATAATGACCTGGCAGGAAAATAGAGCCCATATGTGTATCTATTGTACATGCAGACCTCACTAACTCTTTGCAATATATGCCATTTTCAGTGGCATTGAGAGTTCTTTCACTATGGGCGCATGTTCAATGACACTCTGTAATACTACTGTGTGGGAAACTGATTTTGTAAAGGACCCAGAAGAGATGCATGAGACTATAAAATATTAGTCATTCCTAATTAATGTGGTTTCTATTTTCATTCTATGGTACTATAATACATATGTAGTCTACAGTCCTTTATTAACTACATGAACTCCATTTTATCTTCATGTATGACAAATTTACCTTTGCTGTTACTTCTGCTGCTCCCACTAACTCTGCCTCTTTGCATCTACAGTATGTTCCTGCAGCTTTGCTTCTGAGACACTTTATGCAACTAAAAGCCCAATCTGCAACTGTTTGCCTCCAATTAGGTCTGCAAGGTCAGCTCTGGTGTTGGATGCTGCTGGGAAAAACTGTCATCCTCTTCCTCAGTTTGGCCTCCTTGGCTGTAAAATGCAAGAGAGGTTGAGAAGAGGGGGCTCCAGATCTATCTCTGCAATGATACTTTGAGTCTTTCATTTTCTATTATAATCTAATTCAATTTTGTTAAATGTCTGCATTTATTAGTCCTCAAATTAAGCATTTTATGTCAATGAAACATCTGTTCTACATGCTACAAATTAGTATTGATTTTTTTGCTTCCCTGAATAAATGTTTAATATTCAAAGCTTATTTTATTTGTGTTACATCACAGAAATCTCATATTCAGAATCTGAATCAACCTTATTGGCCAGGTGTGTCGGGCACATGAGGAATTTGATTCTGCTACATCGGCTCTCAATGTATATGTATATATCCCCATGCAAGGGGCAAGTAAACAGTAAACCAACATAAGGCTGTGTAATATAACAAAATAAGCAGTAATAACAAGCAACAAACAGTGCAAACAATGCAAAATAAGCAGTATAAACAGGCAGTAAACAATACAGACAGACAAAGGAATGGTCATTGCGAAATGAGATAAATAGCAATAAAAAATAATTCAAGTGGTCTTTTTGGTATACCCACTTAGGTTATTTTTATTTTCTGTGTGTGGTTTACGTTTCGTTTTGGTATAAACGTGTTTTGTAAATTGGTACAGGAATACTGGAATGCTGACCATAAAAACTGAAACTGACTTGTTAAAAATACCATTGGAATTGAATGCATTGCATATTTGTTGTTCTTAGAATTACATGAATATCAAAACTTTTTCCTATTGTCAACTAACCTTAAAATTCCAATGCAGATGCATCTAGACAGGCGCAGTCAAAGTCAGATCTAAATACATAATAACAATAATAATAATAATAATTATTATTATTACTATTTCCTCTCATGACTCAGGCACTGTTTATTAATGCTGGTTTACTGTCATAATGACAGCATGTAATATCATTGCTGCAAAATTGAAAAATAAATAGTATCCACGCTTAGACACACCCAGTCCAGGAGGTGGCGGTAATGCACTTAATAGCGGTTTGCTAACCAACGTTCAACAGAAGAAGAACAGTGACGTACACGTCAAAGAATCGAAGATGGCGGCGCTGTACAGCATCATTTATTGAGAGCCAATGACTTCTGTCAGAGATACAAATTCAGTCTTGAAAACTGTATAAGAAATTGATCCAGAAGAGACATGTCTCCAGAAGCGGCTCGCTGTTTACAAACAGTGGCTCCGCTGTTTTCTCCATCCGTTTTCATGAGACTGTTGCCCGCACATGGAGGAGCCCGTCGCCTGCAGACACGAAGACACTTCGCTGTAAGTCAGTGTCTGGCAGCTAAAGTTCCCCCTGCTCGTAGTCGCATGGAGCGAGTGGAGATCCCCGGACTAGAGAAGGTCACCTACGGGGAAAGGATGCACTATGTGCCGGGGCTGGCTAAGCCTGTTTACCCGAGGTGGGAGAGGGACTACAAGGACCCGCGACGTTACAGGTCTCCCCCAGCTCACGAGATGCCGCTGTACAAAGAGAAGCCGTGCTATGTGTTCCACCAAGGGACCAGCGCACTGGAAGGTGAAGTGTCACGGCTGTTTCACACTTCATGCACATCGCTGTGAAAAAGCTGTCATACGTGTAAGGCATATGTTTGTGATGATAAAGGTAGCATACAACTTTATTTTTCTATTCTAATGTATCATGTGAGATTTGGACATTAGTACAGTCCATGGTGCTGCCAATCGATTACAGTATTTAATCGCAGGTTGCTCATAGTCAACTCGCTATCAAGCTCAAAGTAATCGCACTTTTTCATGTTCTAAACAGTGGCGGATATATCTTTAGTTACTAGTTTATTTTCAGAACCAGGTTAATACAAAATACAGAGTAATTATAAGACCTCACTGATCTACGGTGGAAAATTCACAAGCTGCCCATCAGCAATTCAAATTAAATGCATATAAGCTGGTTCCAACTAGTGATGTACACAATAATGCATCACTAATTATAAAACAATGATATGATGTACAGGAATGTGAAATGTACCATGAGTACTTTTACTTTGTGCTTTTACTTAAGTAACAGTTTGAATGCAGGACTTTTAACAGAGTATTTTTGCACTGATGTATTGCTACTTTTACTAAAGTAAAGGATCTAAGTACTTCTTCCACCACTGATCCTAAATGTACCTTAAAGGGCCCCGAGGTAACGGTGGTTACTGAGAGAAGTCCAGTAGACTCTGGTGAGCATAGCCATGTTTGTCAGTCCCCACGCCTCCTCCATTTCAACTTTCTCATCTTCATACAAGTTGTGTATCTTAGTTACAGTGGAGGCGCACGAAGGCGATTCATACGTGCAGTTTTTGGATGCAATACAAATGATTTCAACCAGATGCCATCCTCCACAGTGTTAATCAGCCTGTAAGCTGTAGCCACCCATTTAGCTATCTCTGTTGAAGGTTTGCTGCTTAATAGAGTTGTCTAGACGTCTCCTTTGCAAACTGTCAAGCTTGTTCTGCCTTTGGCGAGGGAGAGGAGGGCTCTCTGCATCAGCTGTGTGCTTGGCCAGCAAGTGGTATTTGAAACTCGACGTAACTCAGGTCACATCAACAGTAGATGCAAATAACTTTGGTCTTGTGGAGAGAACATCTGGCAGGGCTTTTAAGCTGAACTTGCCATTCAAAAGACCCTTTTCCTTATCCATTTCTGCTCATTTCTGCTGCTGCATCACTTCCTGATTTCCCAAACCATGGGGCAGGCCGAGGGTTATAATCACACAGTTAGAAGGGATTTGTGTTAACTCCTTATTATCACATTAACTTTGACAGCCTTCAAGTGAGGGATTTGACTGTTGTTAGTAATGTTTCAGTGCCTCATGGTTTCTCTCCCTCTCTCAGGTGTGCGCCAGGCTCTGTTGTTGACCAAAACAAAGCTGATCTCCGGTCTGCCCACTCAGATCCTCTCATTGGCTGAGAGTCATGCCAATCAGATACCAGATCAGGATGAGCGTGTGCAGAATGCAATCAAACATGCCCGCTTCTGGGATACAACAGAGGAACGACCAGACAAAGAGAAATACAGGTAACGTGTCACAGAACCTGAATCCCGTTTCCTCTAATTGCATCCACATTTCTCTCACTTAGGTCTTTTCCATGTGTCTCATTCCCACCCACATAAGATGCAAGGAGAAACTGTGAGGAAAGAGGAACCAAGGAAGAATATTTTAAAGCTACATTAACTAGATTGAGCACAAATTTGGATAAATCAAGTAAAAAATTGTCTAGAAATGTTGTCTCCCCGCTGGTTTCAGCAGTCTCTACACAGTGCACTGTTTTCACTGGTTTTATGTAAGACAAACAGTATCTACATGGTGGGGGTGACTTGTGTGTTGGCCACTGTGGCTTATTTTACTGCAGCTGCTGGAAACACCTGGAACAGATATTCCATGGGATGCACAAAGACTGATGCATCAGATTTATCAGTCCAGGAAATGTTTCCGTATTTATGGCTACCAGCAAAATGCCACCATACTCAGAACAGGGGGTGTTGCTAATACAGTTCATCACTTTCATGCTGATTATGTTGGCAGCAAAAATAAAGTACTGCTTGTCTTGAATGTTGGCTCCACAGCTACAGTGGCACTTCCTTATTTGCTTAGTTAAAGCAGTAGATTTTAACTGATTAACAGCAGTTAATTAATAACCATGTAATCTGCTGACATTTTTAAGCATTTTTTGTCCAGTTCACTGAATTAAAAAGTGTTGAAGTCTTGTTGTATGAACATTTTTCATGTCACTTATTAACTGTATATAAATATGGATGTGACATCACCACTTCCCTCCACTATGCAGAAGTGAAGCCAAAATGTCATGAATATGGCAGCGTCCATCTTCACATTTTACAACCAGATTAGCTGAGTGATGTACCAGCTATCAGTCAAAGCTGTCAAATGAACCAAAATACACCCCTTTTCATACCATCAAGTAACTTATTTTAAACAACCTTACCAAGAAAGTGACCACTGGCACACACATCAGCGTGATAATACCTACAACAAACCACATAAGGGACCTCTGGGGAAAATGTATCTGATTTGTACTTTGAGTTTTTAAGTTTGGCTCATGTCCCATCCACTACCATGGAGGAGGCGGGATTTATGCCATCAGAGATGATCACTTCTGGGAAACTGTCAGACTGTCCATTGTATATACAGTCAAACATATCACTGCAATTGTTCAAACAACAGAATATTGCACTCTGCATTCCAAATTATCTGAAGATCTACTGCAAATTCAATATTCTGTGTAGAAATCACCAAAACCAGGCTGTCTGAAACTTAATTAATGTCCAGTAAAGATACCAAGTGGTCATGATGTCTCATATATATTCATAATCAGAAATTAAATGATGTCTTTACTTTGTCAGTGACAGTTTTGTGGAACTTTGTGGAGTTTCAGTGCATTCCCAGACTGTTTGAAATATATGGTCCAGTGTATTCTGAATCCTCCCCAGTTGCAAAAAAAAAAACAGTTTAAGGAAATTTAAAAAACAAGCAGAACTGCAGAAAGACTTGGTGTCCTTGCTTTGTCCATATAAAAACAGCAGTGTTTCTCAGAAGTGGCAGTTGTGTTGACTTACTAAATATTTGGTGGGAAATAGCAGCTGATGGCAGCACAGGTACTTTTACTCTCCTTGCTTAATTCCTCTGTCTTTCCCTCCCCAGCAACACTTTGCTCCGCAACCTGCTTCACCTGTGTGCGACTCTACAGTGCAGTCACCCCGCGGTTGGAAGGAGGATCCTTACTGAGAAATACTCATTGGTAGCTACATGGAGAAGAGGTATTATACACTAGGAGGAAAGTTGTTTTTCAGCGATATGCAACAAAACCAGGTGCTTCTCAGATAGCAAGCTTTAAGGCTGGAGCACACGGATTGGTTTGGAGTCTTTAACTTTACAAACAGACTAACATTTCCACACTACGGTGTCAATAAACAGAGTCAAAAACTGAAGAGGACGCAGTGTCAGATATTTCACTGGAGGTGAAAACGACGATGATGCTGGTAGTTCTAGGGGAGAAGTCAGGTACTTATATTTACCTATAGTAAATATAAGTAAATACATATTGAAATTGATCTGGCACAGGTCCTGGTTCCTAAATATGAAGTTTATTGGCTTAAATTACTGATCTGAATAAAAGAATAACTCAGTCTCATACTACAGATTCATTACAGGGCAGTTACTAACTACTACTTTGTATGTGTTTGTGATCACACAGTTTGTGTAACCACTCCCATTTATACATCCTTGTTTGATAGTTTAATTTAATGCATTACCAAAAGGTGGCGGCTGTTGTAGCAACACTGGACAAAGGCATACAACTTACCACATCTTCACTGAAAGCACAGCATGTGTAGCGTGTAACATCTCACGTGCACATCGTGGGAGGCTAAGGCTTGTGTCTGTACCAAGTGCATGTTCACTTGCACATGGGAGGTGCTTGGTGAACAAACACGCACAGAGGAGCCTACAGAAACACTTTGGAAAAGGGATAACTACAGTCTGACTAATATCAGACAGTAAGGGAATTACTGACTACACGTGCATCTATATGTACAGTGGAGCCAACCTGCGGTAAAAGGGCACACACTTAAAAAAAAAATAGTCCCATGGTCAGTATGTAACAGATGGTAGATCATGTGTTTTAACTGTTTTTGCTTGATATACAATCACCAGCAACTTTATTAGGTACAATTGTACTCACTTCAATGCAACACTTCCATCTTAACGGCTAAGGCTTGTGTCTGTACCAAGTGCATGTTCACTTGCACATGGGAGGTGCTTGGTGAACAAACACGCACAGAGGAGCCTACAGAAACACTTTGGAAAAGGGATAACTACAGTCTGACTAATATCAGACAGTAAGGGAATTACTGACTACACGTGCATCTATATGTACAGTGGAGCCAACCTGCGGTAAAAGGGCACACACTTAAAAAAAAATAGTCCCATGGTCAGTATGTAACAGATGGTAGATCATGTGTTTTAACTGTTTTTGCTTGATATACAATCACCAGCAACTTTATTAGGTACAATTGTACTCACTTCAATGCAACACTTCCATCTTAACATCTGTGTTTATGAAGCTCCAGATGTTTCAGTTTCTGGTGAAACTGTCATAAATGTATCAATTCAGTTATACAGTGCCTATAATAACTACAGTCTGACTAATATCAGACAGTAAGGGAATTACTGACTACACGTGCATCTATATGTACAGTGGAGCCAACCTGCGGTAAAAGGGCACACACTTAAAAAAAAATAGTCCCATGGTCAGTATGTAACAGATGGTAGATCATGTGTTTTAACTGTTTTTGCTTGATATACAATCACCAGCAACTTTATTAGGTACAGTTGTACACACTTCAATGCAACACTTCCATCTTAACATCTGTGTTTATGAAGCTCCAGATGTTTCAGTTTCTGGTGAAACTGTCATAAATGTATCAATTCAGTTATACAGTGCCTATAAAAAGTATTCACCCCCTTGGATGTTTTACCCTTTTATTGATTTTATAAAACAGTCATGGTCAATATAATTTGGCTTTTTAGACAAAAAACAAACAAAAAAACCCTCTGTTAAAGTGAAAACAGGTTTCTACAAGTAACAGATGGTAGATCATGTGTTTTAACTGTTTTTGCTTGATATACAATCACCAGCAACTTTATTAGGTACAGTTGTACACACTTCAATGCAACACTTCCATCTTAACATCTGTGTTTATGAAGCTCCAGATGTTTCAGTTTCTGGTGAAACTGTCATAAATGTATCAATTCAGTTATACAGTGCCTATAAAAAGTATTCACCCCCTTGGATGTTTTACCCTTTTATTGATTTTATAAAACAGTCATGGTCAATATAATTTGGCTTTTTAGACAAAAAACAAACAAAAAAACCCTCTGTTAAAGTGAAAACAGGTTTCTACAAAGTAATGTCAATTAAATAAAAATATGTAATGGGAAATAAGTGATTACATAAATATTCACCCCCTTCAAGTCAGTATTTAGTAGCTGCACCTTTGGGTGCAATGACACCACTGGGTCTGTGTGGATAGGTCTCAATCAGGCTTGCACATCTGGACACTACAATTTTACTCCATTCTTCTTTGTAAAACTGCTCAAGCTCTGCCAGGTTGCCTGGGGTTCGGGCGTGAACAACCTTTTTCAAGTCCAGCTACAAATTCTCTATTGGATTGAGGTTTGGGCTTTGACTCGGCCGCTCCAGAACACTCACCTTGTTGACTTTAAACCATTTCTGTATAGCTTTCACTGTTTGCTTCTGGTCATTGTCTTGCTGGAAAATATGTCTTCTCCCAAGCCATAGTTCTCTTGTAGACTGAATAAGTTTCTCCTCCAGGATTTTCCTATATTTTACCACATTCATTTTACCCTCTACCTTTACGAGCCTTCCAGGGCCGTCTACTGAGAAGCATCCCCACAGCGTGATGCTGCCACCACTGTGCTTCACAGTGGGGATGGTGTGTTTGTGGTGATGTGTAGTGTGACACATGTGAGTGTCAAAAACACGACTGGCTCCCCTAAAATACACTACTGTAGTACTAAATAAGGATTGGCCTTGGATTGGCTTTATTCTGGCTGGTACTGATCCTGTGAAATATGCCCGGATCGTAGCCAATACCAATACTTAGTATCGGACCGGGACATCTCTAATCTGAACCGCGGTGTTGGACTGACTGAAAGACAGAGACAGTGCAGTCCACAGAGCCGTGCCATACGCAGTGTTTCCTATACACTGCTTTATTTGTGTCAGGCTGCCACAATATTATTGTTACCCACCACATATTGATTTAAAATAGTTGAATCTTATTTCATGGTAGTGCCGTGTCTAGAGCATGTATGCGCTCAGCACAAACACACAATGACCGCCCGTCTGTGAACAGCTGCTACTCCCTGTGTTTGTGTTTTTTTTAATGCAGTGCTGTCAGTCACAGAGATCCAGATCTTCTAATATGCTGTTAGCAAGCTAGTAAGGCTAGCTGGGCTAACGATAGAATACAGCTGTTCGTAGCACTGATGTAGATGGGCTGCTCTGCAAGTGCAGTGCAGTGCTGTGGGAGCACTGCCATAAGCATTGCCAAAAATTATTCTTGACAACTGATTATTGTATGAAATAGTCACTAAGCTAAATGCTCAAATTATGCTAGCGGACTTCCATTTCTGTGTTGTGTGTACCAGGTGAGGACCTATTGCAGGTTAGGGGTCAGAATGGTTTACTACTTCACTGCATGGATCCTCTCCCAGTGGTTTCTGGGAAACAGGAAGTTGCAGACACAGCGGATCATGTCCTGGAAACCTTCTATCCGGTATCCCCTACCATCGACCTGCACCAAGTACATGTGTACAAGGAGGGGGAGAGCTGCTCAGGTAAGGAGCGTCTTGGTCCTCCTGGTTTCATCTTGTCTCCTGTTCAGTCACATGACATCTCTCTCCCCAACTTAGGTTTCAGGGACAACTGTCCTTACCCTCATGCCCACACTATTTACTTTATGGATACAGTTGAGGCTCGCTATAAGTTCCAGCCAGAACAGCTCAGAGCCAAGATGGTCATGTTCGCATTTGGAAACGCTCTGGTCCGAGCACACAAACTGTATGGGGTATGGATACACCAGCAGCTAGGTGAAGCTGTCTGTGACAACAGTGTTGTATTTACCATCCATCCTACTTCATTTCTATGCATAAGTCATAACTGTCCTTCTCTGTTTCTCTCTCTCTGGCACTGTGTGTGTGTGTGTGTCAGTCCCAGCCCCGGTGTGTGTTAGATTGTCCTATAACAGTACAGGCAGTGGGGACCAATGGCAGAATCTTCCAATTTCTGGTTTTCCAGCTCAACACCACAGATTTCTCAGGAGACGATGGCATCAAGAACCAAGTGATTCATCTTTATTATTTTCTATATGCTCTGCAGTTGAGAAAATCTAATGTACTCAATGGTTATGAAGACAGGTTATACAGTGAGAAAGCTCCTGCTTGCAGATGCTGGGTACGGCAGACAAACGCTTTACAAAGCAGTAGCTCTGCAAACCATGAGAGGCGTTCAGTTGTCATTAAAAACCTAATTTTCTGTACTGGCAGAATTCAGGCATAAACTGATGAATTTGTGATGACTGCGGTTGCATTTGTTGCATAATCACACTATCCAAAGTGATTTTATTTATAAACCAGTGTCCAGTGTCCAAATTCATGACAACTGTGACCTGGCTTTGTAGCATAGGGAAAAGAAATAGGCATTAAAATAAACCAAAGTTTGACTGTAACACATTGCCCACGTTTGGCCAGCCCAACAGGGGGCACTGACTGCAGCTTCTCCGTATGAAGCTGTTGTAGATGATGTAGCATGTTACCGGTGTTAGCCGTCATGTAAGCCAGAGTGCGCTGACAGGCTACTGTTAGATTGCTGATGTACCAAGTGAACGCTTGGGTCATCCCTGCACCGCCCTCTAGTGGTAGCAGTAGTTACATCTTGTGGAAGTCAAAATTTGATTGACTTCCTATTGCGAGCTGTTTCTCAGTTTTGCGATGCCTGTTGTCACATTTTTTGGATCGTGAATTATCCTGCCACGGTGCATTGTTACCCCCCTAGAAATAGCACACCATTCCCAAAGAAGACCAGTTTTCAAGTTTGAGAGATGTTTCTAGCTCAAAGCGTCTATAAGTACATATGGACTGAAAAATGGCAAAATTAAAGAGCAAAGGGCGGTTGGGAGAGCTGCTCTATGGTTTTGTGTGCAACTTTTTGGTTGATGCAGCAGCAGCGAGACACTGCGTCTCCTGTCAGCTGCACGAACAGGCTTGCTGCCTCTCTCTTCCTTTATTCTCTAAGTCTTTACTGCTCCTCACAGGTGTGGCTGGATGAAGACATCGAGCTCTATGATTTTGCAAAGGTCCGACCGCTGATCAAGAAGAAGCAAGTCAAAGTAAGACAGTCACTCATCATGGTTGATTCTGATTGTCTAATACATGACCCTGTGTTATGTGATGGTTTAGCACCTGAAGCTATTGATTTATCAGCATTACTTCAGTAATAGTATTTTCATTCGAGTGTGGTAGTTGAGCAGCGTCAAGCCTCTCCTTTCTACAACTGTATTACCTGTTGACTTGGTGATAAGCCTTGTAAAGTTATGTGACTCTGATTGGTTGCTGCGTTTTTACCCATAGGTACCAGCTGGTCTGGCAGGCTACAAGCCTGAAACCTTCAGCAAGTTCCTGGCCCTGTATCTGCACGGAGCTGCATAGGACTGCTTACTTCAGACGTGTGTGTGTGTGTGTGTGTGTGTGTGTGTGTGTGTGTGTGTGTGTGTGTGTGTGCGTGTGTGTGTATGTGTGGATGGACACACTGATCTGTGAGTTACCACTAAAGTATGTGTTTGTCCGGGGCCTGAACCAGTGTGTTACTAAGAAACTCCTCCTTTGCTTTGAAGCAGTCAGAAGCCTGGTTCACAGCGTGTTGGCTTTGTGGACAGTAACTAGCTACAGGTCCTCATTGTCCCACTGATTTCAGACCAATGCAGTCAATAAAATCTGTCATTCTTAATATGTATTGGCATGTATTTCAAGTTCACATGACTTCTTGGTCAGCCTGTTTATATTGAACAAAGGCTGCTAATCCTGCCAGTTTTCTCTCCTTTTTTACTTTGTTTCTTATAAATCACATTTGTCAAACTCAAGGCCCGCGGGCTACATCCGGCCCGCGAGATCATTTTATATATCTTTTTAATGGCCCGTGATATGAAGCGCTGATAACACAAACTACAAATCCCATAATGCAGCGCAACAGCTGCCTTACCAAACGATAGGCTACCTGCGATCATTCCTGTGTCAATTACGTCAGATCAATCAAGCGTCTGTTGATGTATACAACCCTAATTTGAAGTCAAAGCTAGCTCCTAACAATGGCCAAGAGAAAAGTTGATTCTGAAAACAGAGCCTTTCTAAACCGGTGGGAGGCTGAGTATATGTTTACTGACATTGTCGGTAAACCTGTGTGTCTTATTTGTGGAGCTAATGTGGCTGTAATTAAGGAATATAACCTAAGACGGCACTACGAGACAAAACATCAGGACAAGCTGAAAAACGTGAATGAAGAGCAGAAGCTACAGAAGGTAGAGGAGTTGAAGAGGAATCTGACATCACAGCAGACTTTTTCACCAAAGTGAAATCACAGTGAAGCTGCTGTGAAATAAGTTTTATTGTGGTAGAGGAGAAAATCAGCCCGGACATTTACCAAGGGAGAGTTTCTGAAGAGCTGCATGATGAAAGTGTGTGACGTCTGGTGTCCAGACAAAAAGCAGGTGTTTGCAAATGTAAGGCTTAGTAAAAATACAGTTGCTGATTTTAAGTTCAAGTTTATTTATTTTAGAATAATATTTTATCCTGTCTGTTTAGATTAATATGTATGTTCAAAAACGTTTAGTTTTAGTCTGTTCAATAAATGTTTATCCTGTTCGGCCCATGACCTAAAGTGTGCTCTGGGTTTTGGCCCCCTGTGTGATTGAGTTTGACACACCCCTGTTATAAATTGTTGCCCTCAAAGCTAAAGCTAATACAACTACCTATGTGAGGACACAGCAGTAGTATGCTGGTTTCAGGGAGGCTGGCTTTAAAAATATAAAACAGTAATCTGGGCAACATATCTAGAAGTTATGGAAATAACAGCAGCACGTATAAACACCGTAGTGAAAATGAGAAATAAACCTACTCGCACCTCAACACAAGAACATCAGAGCTTTTCTCACAGCAGCATTTTGACTTGCAGCAAGAAAATCACAGAAGCAACAAATAACATTGATGATGCTCCAGTAAGCCATGACTTTGAGCCAACACACACAATACTAGAGCCCCGGTGGAGTGATTCATCGTGGTGGACACTCTGACAAGGCAGAGCACAGGTGTAATGAACAGCATTACTGTCTGTTTACAATTGGTAACCCACATTTCTTTATGCCGAGTTCACTTGATCAAAACCCTTCACACACTTAAAAGCAGTTAATCTCACATCCAAATAGTGCAGCCAAAACACTTGATCCACATCTGGGGATCAGTTCTTGTACCAGAACACTCATTACCTTTGCTGGTCAGAACATACAGGCTGTAACAACACTGACACAAGGAAGCTTTTCAAAACGCCTTTGTCTTGAAGTAAGTTTCATTTGTCATTCATTTGGTTTTAAACCAAAGTTCTATTACAACAAAAAGGACACTAGCATGGATTGTGCTAACACACCGTGCATGTCAAAAATGAATCAAATGATTTTTTTTTATTGTAAGCTCTGACACATGATGCAGCCCAGTTAGTGGCAGGGCACAGTGTGTTAAACACTGCAAACAGTGGATTTAGATCTATTATATAGAATGATCAGCTGGGTGATGTGCTTAGCTGAATCCATTATTGCAAATTAATTGTAGAACTTCTACATGACCATACATTATTTGGTTACTGCATGCCAGTGTCATTCTTGATACTAATACCAAATGTCACCAAAGTGAGACCAGAGCAGCTGAACATCAGGGTCTTTTCACAGCCAAATTAACTTGAGGTGGGCTGGACATTTGCTGCAGAACTGCCAACTCCGCCATCGACCGCCCTCTGTCCATGGTCTCTTCACTAGAGATTCATTATTTAGCATGTGAGTAACTTTCCTGGAGAGGCAGACCAACCCAGGTACAAACACACTGCGTCTACGCCCTCAGACACACTGACAGCCGGAAAGACTACAAACACACCTCGGAGAAAGTACACACAAAGCGCTGCGGAGACTACAACGAGGTAATACATGTACTCAGTGTCCTGGAGTTCAAACTAAACTTTGCTGTGTAGAGTTTTTGTCAGGTTAGCAGAAGACACGCATAAACTACCGGAAGTCCTATGCTTTCATTTACAAATAACGCTATATAATGCGAGATTGGTAGTGTAATTTTATCTAACATTTAGTTTTCTTATCGATATCATGAAACCTCATGGTGTATTTGTTTGTAGTTTAGTATAGTTTTTCTTTTCTTGTTGTAATCCCATATTATCTAATGTTTAAGTGCAGGCTACAGACCTGTGTACCTCAATTTTAGCATGTTACAGATAAACCCACATATTGTTTCCAAATGTTTATTTTTCTCTGCTTATTTTGCCAGGCCATTCAAATATATGCAGCTTATCCATAATTATGCACTGGGACGCCATCGTTTCTTGGCTTTTTCACACTTAGTTTCTCTGAAAAACGACGTATAAACACGCCAACATTTGCTAGCATGTTGGCTAGATTGGTTTAGTTTGAAAAGGTGTGACCGGATTGGCCAGTACGTGTAGGGGGGTCTATGTTTGACTGGACACGGTTCCTGTCCACGGCCAGGTTTGTTCATCTTAATGTCACTTAGCACGTTAAAATGAACGTGCTTAAGCTTCGTGTTATTTCGGTGGCGTTCAATTGGCTAGCTAGTATGTGGATTGGCATGCAGCTAGCCGAATTAATCAGACGTGCACAGCTTACGTTTTGAAGTTAGTTGGCTAGCTAACAGCCAAAATAGTGGTTGGGTGATTAGCACATGTCTCTTCCTCCAGATCGATTTTCCATATGCACGTTCCGGTTTGATTAAACACAAGACGAGCCTTTTACACCGGGTGTCAGAGGCGGTGCTAGTCCGCTGCTCTGTGTGTGTGTGGCGGGCAGCGCAGCGTCACAGTACGGGCTGCTGGTGATCCTGTGTGTGTTAATACTGAACTGTTTCTTGGGGAAATGGTCCCAGAGAGGTATTTGTAAGCTGCTGTATTAATTCAAGGAAGAAAAACCTTTGAAAATATAACAACACTGAAACACAGGGGCATAAGAAGTTACTACTGGCAAAAAGAGAATTACAGGTAGTCTACCTAATTTGTCTTGGTTTTGCCAGCTAGGATTTCACTGAAAACACATTCACACAAATAACTTTTAAAAGAAGAAAAACACAACAAGCAACATCCAAAGTCACAGCACAGTTTTCAGTGGCATTCCTTCATCTAGGCATCAGCTTTTGTCACTGTATTTTATGCTCTACTTTTTCAATACTGAGGCATTCATCTAAAACCACCTTTTAATAACCGCACAGGTTAAAAAAAATCAAAATAAAATTATGAATGCTAAAATTTAGGCTGTTGACTTAAAGAAGAAGGCATACCTACATTTAGCACTTTAGAAAAAGAAACCGTGGGGGGGACAACAAATGTTGAATCTTTTCTGAAGGTGTATGTTTCTAGTATTTGTATTTGGGCCATGAGGGGGACAGCTCCTTGCTGTTAACTGACTTTGTATTGGGTGAAGGCATCTCTTTGACAAATTATTATTATTTATTTTACAAAAAAGTGAAAAAGCCTAAAAGCTGCTGTGTGCTGGGATGCACTACCAACAAGGCAAAGAACCCAGGGTCACTGTTTTAAAAGCTGCTGGAAATAACCTAAGCTTTCAGAGGACAAAATGGATAAGGCATTAGCAGGAACAGTCAGGAAACGGGGATCCGGACACTTGCATCTGCAAGGCATCCTGGTATGATTGCAGGAACCTTAACTAACTACAGTAGCTTACTAGCACGTAGCACGAGGGAGGAAAATTAGCATTTCAATTTATTTATATCCAAAATTGATAAGGTGCAGTTGACTTCAGTGTACCCACTGAAGTCCCTGTTTTGTCTTTAAACCAGTATATGTGCCTCTCTACACACCATAAGAGCAGACATTTAACCAATAGCTGTTCACTGCTCTGCCTGCATGCACCCCCTCTCTCCTGGTGTTCCTGGAACTTGATTTTAGTGCTACCTCCCGGGGGGTGCCGAGTGTTGGCTCCCAGAAGGCTTGACATGTTTCATTAGGCTACTATAAAGGAGAAACCCTCATAGGTATAGAAATATAAAGGGGGCCGAGGTTCTGAATAACTCTTCTAAAGACTGGTGTGTGTGCTTCCAGTCAGTGATCAGAACAAGATGGGACCAGAATGTACAGGCCAAGATTAGTTGTTCTTTTTAGATTAGTTGTTCTTGTTGTGTCTCTTCTGTAGAGGAGTAATGAAGAATCATAAAGAAGGAAACGTGGTCTTTCACTCTGTTTGGCAAACCTTCTTGATTACTTTGCTCCATTTCTCTTTAATACAAAGTGCCTAGTATTAGTATTATGCTCAAGAGTTAGAAGAAGATAAAGATTTTCATCAATCTGTTGTGGCTGTTTTAAAATAACATTTTATTTGGAGGAATCTGTAGAGCTGTTGCTGTTTTCATTTAAATTCTTTCCTCACAGTGCAAAACCTCGTATGTATGCCCTTACTGTATGTATCATAGTGCAGTAAGCCGTGATAGCTTTCCTTGCTCGTATATTGAATCTTTTATCTATTGATTGAGGGGAAATTTTATCATCAGATTTACACCATCATGACAGTTTTGATGGTTTCTGTAAATTGCGTAATTTTAGTTTTTTGCCAGATCTTGAGAGACAAATTTAAAAATGGGTTTGCCCTGTTCTTGAGATGGTTGTCTAGTGTTTTATCAGAAACAGTAGCTTGAAGTTGGGCCCCATTGGTTATTACCTGGACTAACTGCTTCCACCTGGGACAATCAGCAGGTTTGGGCTGCATAATAATACTCTGGCACACATCAGACCCCCATTCTTCCATGTTCTCTTTAAGTTGTAGGGTTTTCCTCCATTCCTTATATTCCTGAATATAGGTTTGTTCATTCCATGAACTGCCTGTCACTTCCACAAATGGCGTATTGTAACAGTAGTGGCAACAGAATATTCACTTTGACCGATTCAACCACTGAGCTTAAACTTAGAGATGGAGTGAGAGTCTCTCTTTACATCTGCTTTTTGGGGGCTAAAAAGCCTTTCTTGTTCCTCAGTTTTAAAGATGAGTTCTCGAGGGTCAGGGGATGTGGAGGAAGAAGAGGAGGAGGAGGAGGAGGAAGAAGAGGCAGAGAACATCAACCCGACAGAGGTGAAGATGAGTCAGATCGTGATGCCTTGTCACAGCAATCATCGACAGGAGCTGAGCGTGGGACAACTGCTCAAATGGATGGACTCCACTGCTTGCCTCTCGGGTAAGATGGGTGTGTGAGCAAAAGAAATTCAGTGACTATTAGTCACTCGGTGTGTGTTGAAATGACTTTGGTTCATCTGTGAGTGTCCAGTGTTTGTTGTAACCACAGACAAACCAGACAGGAAATGACATTTCTGTGTTTCTCATGGGCAGCTGAGAGACATGCTCAAAGTCCTTGTGTCACTGCTTCAATGGATGACATACACTTTGGACACACCATCAGGTAACAGGAACTGTGTGTACTGAGGGCGTGGGTCCTCTGAAACTGCTAGTTTGTGTGTGTGTGTGTACATTTTATACTCATTCTTCCTTTCTGCCTCTACAGAGTGGGTCAGGTGGTGAACATCAAAGCCAAGGTCAACAGAGCCTTTAACACCAGTATGGAGGTCAGAGAACTTTGTTCTTGCAACATGGCAGTAATGTGTTACACTGAAGTGTTTCTCCAGACAAAGAAACATGCAGTTACTTTAGTTCATACCCTGTAGTAAAGAGAAACCTATGCCACAATGTCAGACTTGTTCTAGCAGGCTACAGATTTTGGTATTTTGTTTTGGTAATTCAGCAGTGAACAAATAAAGCAATAATGTCTGTCTAGAATCAGTGTCCTGCTTACACTTAATAATCCACAAACCTCACAATGAGCACTAGTTTATACACAAAGAACTAGCCCTGTCAAAGTGTTTGCACTGAGGTGAAGAGATGTTTTAGGGTGGAGGCAGAAATCTCAGAGACGATACAAATTTTCAATATGTAACTTCCTAACCATGTATTTTTCCAAGGTTGGGAGCCACCGGGGTCACGTAAACAAAGGGCCAGAGGACTACTGCTGAGCCAGTCCAACCAAATTATTTAAGCAGCTAATTGAAGATTTATCAAATCACCATGTAAAAACAATGTGGTAGTTTAAAAATGGAACTGTTTTGGTTCACAGCTTTCATATTTTTATTTTTGGCCACATTGTGCAGCTGTTTGCTGAAAAAGCTACTGTACATGAGTTGATCAGCAGCAAACAGCAGATAGTCTCAGAGACTGAACATATTGCAGGGTTCTTCTCCTCGATTCATTAGTTAATTTTGTCTGTTTCAAAGCTATCAAAAAGCTGGAGTGGATTTCCACCAAAATAAACAGTACTTCTAATTTGACCATGGGCTGTTGCTTATGTATTCCATGTCAGGTGGGCATCCAGGTGAGCTGTGAGGACCTGTTCCTTGATCGTCACTGGAGGGTTTGTCACGCCTACGCCACCTTCGTTACCCAGCGCACCAGCACTGGAAATAAGGTAGTGGGCTGTATGGATTGTCCAAAATGATTTTGAAGACCTTATGAAACATGTTTCTGAGGATGTGTGTGTGATGTGGTAGGTGTAAACCTGCACGGCTAGGTTAAAACCTGTAGTGAAGAAGAAAAATGCAATGCAGAATGAATGTAAAAACAGATTCAGATGTCTTTTGTTGAAATTGAACAGTCTGCACGTGTGTGTGTGCTTGTTCTCCCATTTACATTTACTGGCATTACCTCACAGGTGATCCTGAAGCCCATTGTACCACACACTCAGAAAGAGCAAGTTGAACACAGTGTGGCAGCTGAGAGACGGAGGGTCAGGATGGTGCACGATGACATCATCAAAGCCCTGCTCTCTGATGCATCTATCCAGCAGGGTGGGTGTGATGCACATTGCCACAGTGCAGCATACAGCAGACCTTGTCACAGTGTGCTGTAGATGTTTTTCCTGATAAAGCAGATACTCTAAGCTGCTATGAGCTGAGAGACTTATAGCAGGGTTCAGCCTGTTGCTGAATGTGGCTGAGAAAGTGCAGAGCAGCAGCTGAGTACAGAGTACCAAGGCTTTAAATATAGTGCAGTAGTAATGAAATGTGACTGTCGTCTAATAACTCGTATCACTTTGTTTGATGCCACTTGCTGGAAACAGCAGCTCATATGCTAAACTGAAGGCGCACTGTTGCACTGGATGACACGTTCCTTTATTACAAAGGATACACACACTGTGGTTTATTTTGAATTATAATCACACACACGCTGTCCTGCTGCCTGAAATACTCACCAGGGGAACCAGATGTGGATGATGAAGATGGAAAAATCATCTTCAGAAGGAACGTGGGGCTGAGGGCGACAGACAAGATAGAAAAGTCAGCAAAAACTGAGAAAACCACATCTTTTCATGAGATTGTTGACAATAAATAACAACCATGTCCTTGTGTGTGTGTGTGTGTGTGTCAGCTGACACCTCAGCAGTAGACAAGGCGGTGGCGGCAGAGAGGACTAAGGTGGAGAGTGTTGAGCTGGTTCTACCCCCACATGCCAACCACCAGGTTACTTATTTGTGTTTCTTTGTGTCTGCCTCTCAGGAAGGAGCGAGATCTGCAGTTATTTTCTGATTTGATAATATAGTTCATGGCATTTAATGATATTTTGATAGTGTTGTACTAAGACTCCAAGATGCCGTTGTGTGACATAATGTGAATCTAAGCTTTAGGTATTCAGTGAATTCAGAGGCTTTTACTCTTCGTGCACTGTGTCGCTTTATAAGTAGCTTTCTTTTCTCACAGCCTCTTCTGTCTTCTCCATGTCTGACCACCAGGTGAACACATTTGGAGGACAGATCATGGCCTGGATGGTGAACGTAGCTATAATTGCTGCCAGGTACAATCACACACACATTTTAAATGCTTGCTTTGACTCCACCAAGGTTTCATAGAGGTTACATATACAGAATCACTCACAGTCATACATGTTTACTGTTCCTGGGTGTCAGAAGTAGGTTAGGATCACGTGAACTGATAAAGTGTATGGTTTTAGATGCCCGCGTCTACAGCTGAAATGGCTGAATGATATTTGAATGAATGATAAAAATAACTGGCAAATGCTTATTGTTAGGTAGTGGCGAAGAGACACAACACTGGCATAGAAACCCTACCGCTAACTAGTGTTTTGGCGGTGTGATTGCAGGCTGGCACAGACACCGGTGCAAAAGTTCATAACACCGTAGGCCATAATACATAACCTACATCATAGGCGCTATGTAGATTCAACGCAGAACCATAAGTCAAACTAAATGAGCCCACAGTCTAACTTAATTTAGACCTACGTCTTATTTACCGGACAAATATATTAATTCCTGTGGGTACATAACAGGGGAAACGCAGTGTGTCCAGCTTATGTTGTAATCTTCTCTGTGCAGTCGCCTCTGTCAGGCTCATCCAACTCTTCGGACCATTGACATGTTTACGTTCAGAGGACCCTCTCAAGTTGGAGACAGACTTCTGCTGAGAGCTATTGTCAACAATGCCTTCAAAAACAGGTATCAGCAGAGCCAGAATGGGTCATAAAGACAGAAAATAAGGTCAGATGAGAAAAAAGCATCTTTTGAGAAAACATGACAACAGCTCAATATTAAAAACTAAAATCTGGAATCAAAGCAGGAGTCAACCAAATGTGTGATGTTGCAGCATGGAGGTGGGGGTGCGGGCCGAGGCTTACCAGAAGGATGGGCCTAACCGACATATAAACTCTGCTTTCATGACCTTTGAGGTGCTGGACGACCACGGGAAGCTATGTATGTTACCACAGATACGACCCGAACCACTGGTGAGTTAGCCAACAGAATGAATCACTGATGGACACTTGATTTACCACAAATGGTTTTATGCACATTATGCTGTGATTCAGTAAGGTAGGACAGAAAGAAACTTTATTTTTTCTGCTCTAAAAGACCCATTTGATGAGGGAAGTTACTGTAATGGCAGTTTGTTGAGGAAGCACAAAAACTAAGTGATGGTACATCGAAATATGTCCTGACATGCAAAAATATCAAACATGGCAGAGGGAAAGAAGTCACACCTGTTTGTATTAAGGCCTGACTTCCAGGTCGATTCAGTCCTTTTTTTCATACTGTGGACAGTAGAGCATGGTTTTGAATTAGTCTTGTCATTTTACCATTGATAGAAGCATTAAAGTTCCACTCTTGTTTAACACCTCGTCTCATACCATTTCAGAACATTTGATAGAATGACAGTATCTCTTCTTTTTTTTTTTTTGTTGATCCATAACAGAAGACCAGGAGCTTGTGTCTTTAACAGCTGGCTAAACACAAGGCTCGGGCTGCTGCCAGAAGCCAAAGCTGTAGCTAACAAGCTGCTAATAATAGTACATGTCTCACACCATCACATAGTGTCAGCTGCATGGTAACTGTATAACTAGTGTAAAGAAGCTCAAGGGTCTGGTTTACATACAGATAGCATGAACTCAAATATATTTGCTGTCGACAGGTACAACTTTCGCTTCCTGGTGCTATTGAGACCAGAGGTTCCAGATTTCTCCAGAACTCTAGAAAAGCCATAAACCATTTTTGGCTGTGTGAATGTGTCATGTCACATATACAGTCTGCCCAAATCTCTTTCACACTCAGGTTATTTTGGAGGAAACAGATATCTGCCCCCTTCAGCAGAGGAATGTGAAAACAGCCTGTCAGTAACAAACTATGCAACTACAACAGTCAGCATAGTGGAGGGATGATATTTATGGGGTATAAAAATTAAAAATAAAACTTTTTTTTTTTTCAGGGGAGTGGTTCTTTAACCACTTTTTAATCTTTTAAAATCAAGCGTGCATGTTATTTCACACTATTTACCCTGAGAAACAAGGATAAACTACATGCTTCTCTGCCTATCCACTGTGGAGCAGGCTGTAAACACACAGCACTGATATTTTATTAACTTATGAAGTTGTTATTGATGTAGATGTTGGCAAACAGCGACCGAACCAGAACAGTGAAACTGCAGGCCATAAACAGTGAGATGAAGGACACCGCAGTAGACTCTCATGCTGAAGTTGCCCCCATGTAACCTCTGACACGAGTGTTGCAGTGCTGGGCCTGAAGAGGAGGGAGCAGAGATCAGAGGCACAAACTCGACATGACTCGGCATGTGGGAAGCATGTTGCACAATACAACACAGTGAGGGAGCGAGCTTTTGCTGTGAAGCAGCTCTTATTGCTGTGTCCTCCTCTAGGTTTGAGTCACACTGAGAAGAGTTTAGCTGGTGGGTGAAAGGTGCTACATTTATGGCTTGTTATACTGGGAAAGAACTGATTATCAGCATAAACAAATTTTACAAAATGAAAAAACAAATGATAGTAAAACAGTAGGCTGCAGCTGTTGGGAAATACAAAATAAGCAAATGCACATCTCAGCTGAGTTCTTATTTGTTTACTGTGATCACAACTCGAGGTGTGCTCTGCTAATTTTACCCATCAGCATCATTACTAACCGTGCAGTACTAGAGTGCTACTCAGTCTTAAAACTGTGGCATGAGGAGGAGCTGACCACGACTTTGGGATTATTTTGACTGGGGAGTGTTTTACAAATGGAGGAACGGCGTGTGAAAGATGTGGGTGCTCACCTGACAGGGACTGTCTATAACAAGACACTAGAAAGTTGAATTATGGCAGCTATAGGATCCACTGATCTGGAAGTTGAAGCTAAAGGTTCCAGCCTTCTGCGATTCCAAACCGGACAAGAGGACATGGAGAATGGACAGCTGAACTGAGCTGTTTATTTAGCCCCCTCTCTGTCACTATCTTGCATTTACAGGAAGGGGAGAGGAGGTTTCAAGAGGCCATAGCTAGGAAGAAGATCAGACTGGACAGGTAAACCATCTCTCTACCCCTGTGTCGAGCACATATCTTCTGAGCTCATAGATCCATGTCTTTTTTTGGGCGGGGGGGGGACTAAAAATAAGAAGGATTGAACTAGTCTGGAAAGAGCACAGCCTGCAGAGATGTCGGCGTGCAGCACAGCCCTCTGCAGTGTGCCCCACTCTCATGCTGTTGGTCTGCATGAAACATCTCAGTGCTGGTCTACAGTGCCACTAGTGGTCAGAAACTCTGCAAGGTACTCTAATAGAATTTAGTAAACAGTACTCTCTAAGCAAAAGCGGGCTGTGTTTCAGTAGATTTAGATTTGTTTAACAGTAATAAAGGCAAATACAAGACTGCCCAGCCAGCTTTGCTTGTGGATTGATGATCATGTATTTTTGCATTCATGTATTGGAGTTGTGAAGAATTTTGCTCAGACTAAAGGTTTATTGGACTATGAAACCCCTCAGTTTTCCTTTTGTTTTCCTTTTGCTGTTTCAGAAAGTATATCATTTCCCGCAAGCAGGGTGAGGTCCCTCTGTCTGTGCCTTGGGACCCCAGAAACCAGGTGAGGTCCAGAAACCACTCAGGACCTGGAACACTTGCTGATGAGTAAGACATTCATTACAGCTCATTTTGGTTGAAAGGTTCACCTAGGGAGAGGAGTGGCTATATGGACGGTGCCGACTACACTGTGCACGGGTTCATTGGCTGAACCTTTTGACCACCTGTGTTGGTGCATACAAATCTAGCCACAAGGGTTTCAGGCCAGTGACTTCTGTGCTGGTCCCAAGCCTGAATAAATAGGGTTGCGTCAGGAAGGGCATCCGACATAAAACATGCCAAATTTAAACATGCAAATCATCAGTGTGAATTAAGAGGAGAGGAAAGACAGAAAAGAAGACCAAGTGGTGGAAGTTGCAAATGAAAGAATGTTGTGAGGAATTCAGACAGAAGTTGAGACAGGCTTTGGGTGGTCAGGAAGAACTTCCAGATGACTGGGAAACTACAGCAGAAGTGATCAGGGAGACAGGTAGGAAGGTGCTAGGTGTGTCATCTGGATGGAGGAAAGAAGATAAGGAAACGTGGTGGTGGAACGAGGAAATACAGGACAACATTCAGAGGAAGAGGCTAGCTAAAAAGAAGTGGGACATAGAAAGGACTGAAGACAGTAGACAGGATTACAAGAAATTGCAGCGTAGAGTGAAGAGGGAGGTGGCAATGGCCAAACAGAAAGCATATGATGAGTTGTATGCCAGGTTAGACACAAGGGAAGGTGAGAAGGACTTGTACAGATTAGCAAGACCGAGAGAGAGAGATGGGCAGGATGTGCAACAGATAAGGGCGATTAAAGACAGAGATGGAAAGGTGCTAACAAGTAAGGAGAGTGTGCAGAGAAGATGGAAGGAGTATTTTGGAAAATGAGAGGGAAAGAAGGGGGGAAGAGGTAAATGTTATAGAGCAGGAAGTAGCAAAGATTAGAAAGGATGAGGTGAGGAAGGCTTTGAGGAGAGTGAAGAGTGGAAAGGCTGTTGGTCCAGATGAGTTTTCCTGTCTGAGTTGGCTGCAAGTTTGAATGTTAGACCCGAGCAGAATGTTCCTAATATTCTGACTCTCTCACGTATGTAGCTGGGGAGGACTAAACTATAGAGACACCTCTGAATATAACATAGTCCTGTACACCACCTTTAACTATGACCTCAGTAATAAACATAGTGTTGAATTTATACATTTATGACAATTTCACTAAAAACTGAAACATTCTGAGCTTCATAAACACAGATGTTAAGGTGGAAGTGTTACACTGAAGTACATACGGTTGTATAGGTGTACCTAATAAAGTGGCCGGTGACTGTGTATGAGGCACAACTGCAAATGTTTTTGATTGGTAGCGCTAAAATGGAAAACTCACTGTCATAATCCTTTTCACCTGATGTAGGAATATTTAGACTCAGAATTTGAACACTTGTGTAAATAAAGAATAGGTCTCTGCAGGTTGATGTTCATACTGAAATTAATTAAATGAATAATAAATAACTGCATGAAAATGAGAAATGTATGCAGAAAATCTGTCATAGATGGGAAATGCATACCAGTAATTTAAAGTGTATTTGATTAGTAAAACTACCAAGACAAAGAATCGGGTTTGTGCAGTACAAGGCAGACATGAATAATAATGGTGAGGCACTTTTTACAGTTGAATTATGTGATTTTTATCAGATGACTGACACAATATGTTCTCCTTTACATCTTCTGATGAACAATGGGTTTGTGCTCTTCTCGAAGCAGAATCAGAGGAGACATATAACCACCAAAAGGGGAGCATCTGCTCCATGTCCTTGCATGAATGTTTGCTATTGTACTGTGTGTGTGTGTGTGTGTGTGTGTGTGTTTCCAGGTGTACCTAAGCTACAACAATGTGACAGCTCTGAAGATGTTGGCAGCTAGAAACAGCTGGTGCCTCAGCTCTGAGAAAGACAAGGTATCTGCTGTGCTGTTTATTTTTCCTTCTCTGTCAGGGTTTTGTGGCAAACCTTTTATGAACATTAAACCATAGCCTTCATTGTGAAGGTAGGTCCTCGCAATCTACCAAAGAATGTAGGGATTTGAGATGCTCACATGTGGAGTTACTTGTCCAGCAAACCGAGTCTTTATGAGACCATGTAAAATAACAGGGACTACCCCTTCTGGCTAGCCATACAAAAAGAGGTTAGCTGGAAATATGATTAGTAATAATCTCATCATTTACCAGGTAGGGATTGGTTCAGCTTTAGTGCCTGAGATGGAAGCACAAAACATCACAGGTTCACTTTAGGTGCACATGTTTATTTCTAACACTACTATGACAAAGATTAAACAGTACGGCTAATATGAAACAAAGACACACAAAATGGAAATGGAGAATGAAAGAACAAGTCAGTGCTGAGTGAACTTATGAGTTCAGGCATAATTTGGAATGACTGAATAAAATGACAGCTGTGAGAAGACCTGGTCAAATCAACAGCACAATCTGCATACAGCCCCAAATCAGAAAAATTTGGGATGGTACGTAAAATTAAAATTGAAAATGGTGATTTGTCATCATCTGTGTCCTGTATTACATTGAAAATGATACAGCAGCATTCAGAAGTGTAAGCGACCTTTGCAGGGCACTGACACGACACCAGACAATGACAGACTCTGGCTTTTGGACTTGTTGCTGGTAACAGTCTGGATGGGCCTTTTCACCTTTGGTCCAGAGCACACGGGGTCCCTTTCTTCCATAACGACCTCAAACACTGATTCATCTGACCACAGTACACATTTCCACTGTGCGATAGTCACAGTACAGCTTTAAGCAGCATTTATGGATGTAACTACATATTGTAGTGCCTGACACAGGTGAGCCAAAGTCATCCTGGTGATGTTTATTCCAGGCTGTTAGTATGTACCTGGGTCAGTGTGTTTGTTGAATTTCTCTGCAGGAGAACACCGTATTTGAGTGATGGTGATTCTTTGTTTCCAGGTTCGTCTTTACACCCTGGAGCAGAAGTCCATGTTGAGTTTCAAGGTGGAATCAGAGGTGGATGTTCCTGCTCAGAGAGCCTTTGCTCTGCTGGCTGAGCTGAGCAACAGATCAAGCTGGGACAAACATTATCAGTAAAGCTTTGATACACACACACACTTATAAAAAATCATTTCAGGATTGACAAACTGTCTCTTCACTGGGTGTAAAAAGGTTGGGGTATACTGTGTGAATGATTCAGGGATGTCAGGGGACGAACAGTAAGGAAGAGGACACAGCTTTTAAAGTTCAAAAAGGATGGGCTTTTTATTCACCCAAAAATAAGGAAAAAATACAAACATCAATATCAACTAAACTGGGCCCTAAAAGAGGTCAACAAAAGATGAGGAAACTCAAAATACAGCAAACTGAACTGCACAGTACCTCAAACAAAAACCAAATGGCACGAATGGGGAATATATATACTGGGTGGCCATTATATCTCACCAGTGGCATCTCTGTCCTTTTTTTTAAATCAGGAAATGTGAGTTGATTCATCAGGTGGACGATGATGACTTCTTGTATTATGTGGTAACTCCATCGGTGGGTCATGGCGCTGTAGGCTCTCCGACTTCAGCCAGTCAGGGAGAGGGAATTCTCCAGGACTTCATCCTCTTGGCTTCCAGGAGGAAGCCGTGTGGCAGTGGGTCAGTAGAATGACTGGCTGGAAGGTCTTAAAGACGGGTCCAGGGTCGATCACCACTGTCCTGCAGGAGTAAATGTCGCTTTTTGTGGTTTTCCTCCTCAGAGATCCATACGTCATTGCTCTACGCTCAGTGTCCCTGCCCACTCACCCCCCCACAGAGGGATATAACAGAGGAGAGGTTCTGTGTGCTGGATTTACCATACTGGAGACCAAAAATGACACATCATTGGTAAGGCAAATCATTCTAGCTGATTACACAGGTGAATTTTATATAAACTGTAATCGTAACCAACTTGACCATTATTGTTTGCTTCTTTTTTTTTTTCAGATCAGTTACTATAACCAGGCGTCTGCAGAGGTTGTTCCCTACATCTCAACAGATATTGCTGGCCTCTCCTCCTCCTTCTACCACACCTTCTGCTCCTGCAGCCAGTATCTCAGCAAGAACAGGCTGCAGTGCACTTCTGAGGAGCAAACTGACCAATACCAGGCCACAGATAGAGACAGCCCCACCTGTGAGAATGGAGCGGCACTCATTGGCACCCAGTTGTAGACAGTCTGTTGTGCTTTCCACACCAGCCTACATCACAGAGTGTAGAGCGAGATCACTGCTGTTTATACAGCAAGGTACAGTTAATACCGTCACAGGAGTTACACAGTCAACAATGGATGATACTTGCATTAAAAAGTTTTAAAACTTTTTTTGAAGGCATTAGAGTAGGTCAGCAGAACAGATGGGTTAGAAAAGATAACACTGAAGTGAGTAAAGAACAACTGTGACTTGGAGATTTAATGCTCACTCTAATACACAAGAAGCAGATGTTAGACCCCATTCCATAAAAAAGTCTTATTCAACATTACGTATTCTATTTGGACATAAATGAATCAGTGTGGTCTGTGTCACCCTGTGTCTCTCTTAAGTCTGGTACACCTAAGGTGAATGCTCATGTAATTGTAAATCTAACAAAGCCTGGGGTTTTTGGGTGGTGCAGGGTTTATTTACAGTAGAAAGAAGTGGTGAGAGGATTGCACCCATTTGCTAACAGCAATCAGCACAACTGAATGGTTTTCACAGGACTTGAACGGTTTCAACAACATTTCTTTGCTCTGTGTGCTTCTGGTCAGAATCCAGTGGTAAACTACATAACATGACACTTTATCTTCGAGTCACTTTGTTAGTAACATATTACCTTGTAAAATTTGCAGTGGTAAAAACTGATAACAGAGAACAAACGTAGACTGGAGAACTTGTTTTGAATGTCTGCACTCAAAAGTCTGTTTTATTTCATAATGTCGTCTACAATAGTGAGACAGTAGATTCAAAAGGAGACATCCATGAAACATGATCATGCAATAATATTTCATTGAGTTTTATTTCACAAATTGATTTATTTACATATGTCATCCAATTTATTGTGTTTAACTTGTTGGCTCCATAGGATCCCTGTATGTTAACTCAGTCCTGGGAAGTATAGTCATGAAAATCAGCTTAGGCACTCTGCTCTGTCATGTATAACCTTACATTGATAGATCTGTTGTGAGCCCATATCGGTTGATAACAGTCCTCCAATATATTGGTCAGGCTGTGATTAGTTGCAACATTCTGAATGTTGTACTGTAAAAATTAACTGTGTGCAATGACGCTGCAGTGCAGGTGGCACTGATGTAGATAATTGTCTAACCACATTCATTAAAGAGGAACCTGTATAAAACAAATAGCCTTTTTGAGTACTGTAGTTTGTGCCCAGTCACAGGACTGGTGAGATATCACATATAGGTGTGTGTTGACTCTTCCTGCACGCTGAATCATCTCTTCTTTCAAGACTGCAGAAACTGCTGCAGTGTTCTTGGTGTCCTCCTCCACTATAAGGTCATATTTGTCTGTCATTCTCATTAGAGAGTGAAGCTCCTCCTGTCCTTTGGGCAGTGACATTGTGTTCAGATGTAGAGCCACCCTCTGAGACAAGCCCGTCACTATTGCTGGGATCTGAAGCAGCCAGTTCTGCTCAGTCAGGACAAGGGTGACATAGGGGAACAGCCTCTCTACTGTGGATACAAATTCCTGAAAGTGAAAGGAAATTACAATGTGAGCAAATCCAGTGCAGATGCTGTGTGTCAAGCCACATATCTCCTCTTTGCTTGGGTGAAGACAGGGTTCAGGGATGCTTTGTGTTAAGGGAAGGTTAGGTCTGGAACATGGTGTTGCTTATCGTGGGGCTCTGAAGATGTATGATGGCACGGTCTGACACCCCCCTCTTTGGGGCTAGATAATGGTTAAACATCATTTAACTTGTACTGAGCTTCCACATGAAGCTCTCATTGTTTGGCACATTTAATTGTGTATTATTGACTGACTTACAGTGCCTTGCGAAAGTATTCGGCCCCCTTGAACTTTGCGACCTTTTGCCACATTTCAGGCTTCAAACATAAAGATATAAAACTGTAATTTTTTGCGAAGAATCAACAACAAGTGGGACACAATCATGAAGTGGAACGAAATTTATTGGATATGTCAAACTTTTTTAACAAATAAAAAACTGAAAAATTGGGCGTGCAAAATTATTCAACCCCCTTAAGTTAATACGTTGTAGCGCCACCTTTTGCTGCGATTACAGCTGTAAATCGCTTGGGGTATGTCTCTATCAGTTTTGCACATCGAGAGACTGAAATTTTTGCCCATGCCTCCTTGCAAAACAGCTCGAGCTCAGTGAGGTTGGATGGAGAGCATTTGTGAACAGCAGTTTTCAGTTCTTTCCACAGATTCACGATTGGATTCAGGTCTGGACTTTGACTTGGCCATTCTAACACCTGGATATGTTTATTTGTGAACCATTCCATTGTAGATTTTGCTTTATGTTTTGGATCATTGTCTTGTTGGAAGACAAATCTCCGTCCCAGTCTCAGGTCTTTTGCAGACTCCATCAGGTTTCCTTCCAGAATGGTCCTGTATTTGGCTCCATCCATCTTCCCATCAATTTGAACCATCTTCCCTGTCCACACACCAAACATGTGGAAGAAGGTGCTCTGGTCAGATGAAACCAAAATCGAACTTTTTGGCAACAATGCAAAACGTTATGTTTGGCGTAAAAGCAACACAGCTCATCACCCTGAACACACCATCCCCACTGTCAAACATGGTGGTGGCAGCATCATTGTTTGGGCCTGCTTTTCTTCAGCAGGGACAGGGAAGATGGTTAAACTTGATGGGAAGATGGATGGAGCCAAATACAGGACCATTCTGGAAGGAAACCTGATGGAGTCTGCAAAAGACCTGAGACTGGGACGGAGATTTGTCTTCCAACAAGACAATGATCCAAAACATAAAGCAAAATCTACAATGGAATGGTTCACAAATAAACATATCCAGGTGTTAGAATGGCCAAGTCAAAGTCCAGACCTGAATCCAATCGAGAATCTGTGGAAAACTGCTGTTCACAAACGCTCTCCATCCAACCTCACTGAGCTCGAGCTGTTTTGCAAGGAGGCATGGGCAAAAATTTCAGTCTCTCGATGTGCAAAACTGATAGAGACATACCCCAAGTGACTTACAGCTGTAATCGCAGCAAAAGGTGGCGCTACAACGTATTAACTTAAGGGGGTTGAATAATTTTGCACGCCCAATTTTTCAGTTTTTTTATTTGTTAAAAAAGTTTGACATATCCAATAAATTTCGTTCCACTTCATGATTGTGTCCCACTTGTTGTTGATTCTTCACAAAAAATTACAGTTTTATATCTTTATGTTTGAAGCCTGAAATGTGGCAAAAGGTCGCAAAGTTCAAGGGGGCCGAATACTTTCGCAAGGCACTGTATGTCAGATGGAAAGGTGCATGCCTTCATGTTGTGACTGTTCTGTAAACCCTCCATGCTGATCCAGACAGGCCGGTAGAGCATCTCTCTGCTGTAAGCTGAGTGCAGCAGTCTAAGAGAAGCTTCCAGAAGCTGCAGAGTGTGGACTCGCAGGTAAACACCCCAGGCTGCTTCAGCATTCTGCCCAAGCAGCTGCAGGACATCCTGTACACACATACACATTAGGTCTTATTTATTCACATGTACATTTTGGTGTGGAAGGAAATGACACTTCTTGAGTGATGATTATAGATAAAATAACACCTGTCTAATACTACTAATAAATGAACTCTAAAGCCATACAATACCCACTGTAAAACATCCACTGAAAAACATGGAGCTCAACCAGATATGTGGAACAATCACTGTACTACAGAGAGTGCTGAGTGTTTAGACCACTAAAAATGTTTGAACCTTCCAAACATACACTTAAACTATCAACTATAGGAAGGGTTCATGGTGATCTCGGAGTGAAGGATGGTAAACTGTTCATTGTATGACCCAGTCTCAATCAAATATAATTAAACAAAGAGAAAGCAACTGAAACAAGGGGTTTGCTCTGTCAGTAACAATCTGTTTGCCGTTACTGTACCTGCAGTGTGAGGGGCTCTGAGCTGGTTCCAGAACCTTCTACCAGTGGGGCGCCGGGCTGGTTGCTGTCAGAGGCCACCTGAACTACCAACATACCACCAGCTCCATCTGGACACATACAAGTGTAATAACCAAGCAGTGTTGGGAATCTACTTTGAAAGCAAAACTTAGCACACTGCCAATTACTTCACACTGGAAGAAACTGAAGTACAGTAAAGCTGCTCCAAGTAGAAATCTAGTTTGGTTACCTAAAGCTTCTTTCTCAGAGAAGGTAGTTCAAACTTCAGTGTTAAAAACATCATATTGACGATGTGGCTTTGCACAAGGACAACATTTCAAAGAATGTTGTATTTTATTGTAAACAAATCTATACTTTGTGTTGTCTGACATCTAAAACAGCAAATTATTGGTTTTATGCCTCTGCACTGCAATAGCCGTAGCCAGTAGCATTATATTTTCAGGTTGTCTTTCCCATTCAGACAATTTACTATTAGTCAAAGATGTAAAACGCACTGCTTTTTATCTGCACACTGCACCTGAAAACTGAGCCAACAGGGAGGCCTGATCAGTGACCGTGAACCAGCGGACAGCCAGGCTGCTGTGTTGTGTGGATTGGTAACTGGTGTGTGAGCTGGGAGTAGTGAGGAAGTCCATCAGGTCTCCTCCGGGATAGAACTGTCGCAGATGGAACTGCTGTCCTGTAAAAACAAACGATACAGCAAAAAACAAAACAGGGACTTCTTTTCCATCTAATAAAAATAAGGCAATGTTTTCAGTTTTGACTAATGGATCAGTAATGACATTGTCAGCCAATGTAACAACTGATATAAAGTATGTGATGAATGGAAGGGTGATTCTAAGTGTATGGCACTAGCTTGATGTTTTGTTTGCTCATTGTGATAATATTCCATCCAATACAACATCTTATCCCATGAGACACATCAGGCACTGAAGGTCTGCTGAAGACCTTATGGGAACTGAAGTTGGAGTTCTGTAACTTTTGCTAATGCCCAAATATTCATGTAGTTTTTTTTTTTTTAATATTTTCAGGCTATGTATTTAGTAAATGCCTAAAATGTTAACTTTTTCACACTTTTATGTTTTTCAGACAAATTTTATCCACTTTTCTAATATAAACAAAAAAATAAAGGTCACAAATTACTTAACTAATTTTTTATATTCTGAAGGGAACAGATGCAAATGGCATCATTCAGGAAAAACCATCACCAGCAATAAAGATCTACAGACACACTGGAGACATGTCCTGAGCACAAAAAACAGTAAAGCATGGCCTGAGGGTGGCCAAATATAAGCATAATATATTTTTAATTTTGGAATGAACTGTAATTTTTTAACACACCGTTTTCCTTTAGCTTTTAGATTTAATGAAGTTTAGCTTGAAGGTTTATTGAGTCGTACATGTCTAACTGGTTTCCCTGGTCCTGTGCTACATATCAAACTCCAGTTCCACTGCAAACTGGGTGACTGTTTCTGTGGCTGTCATCCTTCTTACTTGCAGCCTGTTTAAATGCAGAAAGAGTTGGTTCATATATATCATAGTAGACTCTGGCAGGGTGAGTGTTGTCACGGACGAACAGCAGGTCACTGATGTTTGGGTGAACCGAACCCTGCCACAAAGTCAGACTGAACCTGGAAACACAACCATAACTTCAGAACAGCCTCAGTGTCCTGTTGATTCATAGGGTTAGCACTGAAACACCAGAAGAACAAAATCACATTTGTGAGTTCTATTTTAAGTACTACGGTCAGTTATCTATGGCTTCAGACCATCTGAGCAATAAATGTTGAAGCCTTCATAAACTTATGTATGTTCTAATTAAGCTGAGAAAGAGCAAACTGCAAAGAGCAAATTATTCTGTGTGTGAAAATGCTGTGGATATCACTTCACTGCCTGCATTGACTAATGATAAATGACTAATGATAAATGACTGTCACTGTCATATCACAGATGGAAACTCCGTGTTACCGTGGGGACTGGCTGAGGAGCCAGCTGATGTGCTGCCAGCCACTGCGGACCAACAGGGCATGGACTGGGAATGTCACCTGAAGAAAGTTTGTAGAGTTGTCATTCACTTTCAGTTGTTACAGAGGTGATCATCACATATCAGTCATGTATCTGCTGATGCCTTGTTGTAATTACTGGAAACAAATGAGACCATAGTGCTGATGTTGCTACATGTTCTCCCTGTCTAATGATGAACAAATTATATTATCTGTAATTTTTAAATGTAAGATTTGAATGTTATCAAGCCCATGGTCATCACTCAGAGATTTGTATACAGCACTACAGTATGTTCCCACAGCAGAGCCAGGTCAACCCACTGTGGGTAAACCTCCCCCCCTTCATGTACCACAGACCTCCTTGGTGATTTTAGTGGCTACATGAACCATGTCTGTGTATTTTGTTCCTGGCCTCACTGATGATAACAGAGCAAACTGTAAAGTAATTAAAGCGCCTGTTAGTGTAACTGTCAAGTGTCCCAATACTTTTGTCCATATAGAGATGTTAATCAATCCAGCTGTCTATCTACACTGCCACGTATCACTCGTTATGCGCATAGCCTTGACCTGAAACCTATCTTTAGCTTCAGGTCTATTGTTTCAGAGTTACATGCATAAAACACTCCACAGAATCTGCTAAAACAATGAAAGCTCACTAGGTCCGACCAGAACTCCACCAAAACAGATAAATAGATCAAACAACTACAGTTACCTCCTTGCAGTTGTATGTCTCCACCAACCAATGAAAATCATAGGAATGGGACACACTGGAGGTCACACTGACGATTCGCAAGCTGCATTTCCACCTGTCCCTGGTACTTTTTACTCCCACGAACTAAAGCCCAAGAACTTTAACTAAGATTTAGCACAAATTCGGATAAATTGAGTATCAGATTTGTCTAAAAGTGTTGTCTCCCTGCTGTTGTAACTGTTCATACAATAACCGTCTTGATTAATAGGTAATATGTGCAGGGCCTGAGAGTCACTCGGTAGGCTATTGAATAACAAAGGCAGCATAAAATCTAAACATGTTCCAGACAATTACTGCTACACTAATTTAAACTTAAAGGAATTTGACATCAAAGCTTCTTCTATAATTCTATACTCTGTATTTTAGCCATCTGAACCACAATTCACTGCTGGCTAAAAATGCAGGAATTTAAGCTTGTGTGTTTTAGAATTCATTTGCCATTGTGTATAAACTTGTAATGGGAGGGTGTTGAGCAGAGGAGGGTGTTGAAAACCAAATCACATTAATTAGACGATTATATTTACGCAAAGTCACACAAAATAACACATAAAAGCAGTTCAAGAGCTACAATTAATAAATATTATGCATCTGTCCTGCCCTGCACCTGTAACAACAGGTAAGGTTGGTCAGACCACTGTGGTCTGGGCAACGCTGTCACTCACTACATGTGACAGGGAGTCAAAATGCCACAATCGGGCTGTGTGGAATCTAGGCCAGAATATAATTGGACTGGGACGTAGATGTAGGCTAGTTCTAGTTTATTTAGTTGATTATTTGCTTACATATGGCTACACTGTGTCCTTGTGGCCCGGTTCTGCCAAACAGGAGCGGACCACCCAACTGCCATCAGTCCACAAAGTACTATAAATCTAGTTAATAAATCTATAAGCTCAGTATGAATTAAAATAACAGCTGTTAACTCAGAGCCCCTCTATAAGATCAGACCTCAGGATTAGGTAATAATGTAGGTTTGGATCAGTTTTTGTGGTGCATACAATACAGGTGCAGCTCAACAAATTAGAATATCGTGGAAAAGTCCATTTATTTCAGTAATTCAACTCAAATAGTGAAACTCGAGTATTATATAAATTCAGTACACACAGACTGAAGTAGTTTAAGCCGTTGGGTCTTTGATTATTTTGGCCCACATTTAACAAAAACCCACCGAATCACTATTTCAGTAAATTAGAATACCCCATAAGACCTATAAGAAAACATTTTTAGTGAATTGCTGTAAGAAAGTATGTTCTTTTACTGTATATGTACTCAATACTTGGTAGGGGCTCCTTTTGCTTTAATTACTGCCTCAATTCCTTCAGCTCATCTGCATTATGTTGTCTCTCATTTCTCATTTTCCTCTTGACAATACCCCATAGATTCTCTATGGAGTTCAGTCAGGTCAGGTTTGCTGGCCAGTCAAGCACACCAACACCATGGCTATTTAAACAACTTGTGGTGGTTTTGGCAGTGGGGGCCGGGACCAGGTCCTGGTGACGACAACTGTAGCCAAATTCCTTGGCACGGCAGTGTGTGGTGGCCCTTGATGCCTTGACTCCAGCCTCAGTCCATTCCTTGTGATGTTCACCCACATTCTTGAATCGATTTTGCTTGACAAGCCTCTCAAGGCTGCGGTTCTCTCGGTTGGTTGTGCATCTTTTTCCTCCCACTCAACTTTCTGTTAACATGCTTGGATACATCACTCTGTGAACAGCCAGCTTCTTTGGCAATGAATGTTTGTGGCTTACCCTCCTTGGGAAGGGGGTCCATGACAGTCTTCTGGACAACTGTCAGATCAGCAGTCTTCCCCATGATTGTGTAGCCTAGTGAACCAAACTGAGTGACCATTTTGAAGGCACCTTTGCAGGTGTTTTGAGTTGACTAGCTGAGTGGCATGTCACCATATTCTAATTTATTGAGATAGTGAATTGGTTGGTTTTTGTTAAATGTGAGCAAAATCATCACAATTAAAAGGCCCAACGGCTTAAACTACTTCAGTCTGTGTGTACTGAATGTATATAATACACGAGTTTCCCTATTTGAGTTGAATTACCGAAATAAATGGACTTTTCCACAATATTCTAATCTATTGAGCGGCACCTGTATTGTCAAACAAAATCACTAGTAATCAAAATGCCATAAACTGATTACCACAGGGTGAACTCTGAGTCTTTGACCCCCTGAGGGTCTTGGTCTGCTTTGCTGGACAACTGCCCAGAGGCCTGAACTAGTGATCCAGGACTGAAACACCACTGATGGAGATAAATATCCCCATCTCAACGCCAGTTGGGCAGAACTGATGAAGCCTCTTGGATGAGAGGTGAAACATCTTCAACCTAGAAACCTAGTCCAGTTGATTTTTTTCCTAAGTTTTTTTTTCATTTTAGTAATCCAGCTTTGTCTCACCAACATACAGAGTGTGAATTCTTAAATTGTCTGCTTAAAAATATGGCTTTTAGTCAAAGGAGGAATCCACATATAGTTCATGACTGTACAACACATACGTGTTAGACACCTGCTTAAAAGGATTAAGGTGGCTTAAGTGATTTTTTTCTGCAGTACCAGGACTCTGTTTTTCTGCTGAACATTCATTCAGCTGTGGGAGCAAATAGTGAGCTGCACTGCAATTCCTGCTCCTTAGCATGGACATGTGCACCTTCTCATCTGAAAGACCACTGTAAGAAAGACTCTTTTCCACATTATCTGACACTCAACAATAGCAGATTACCCCCCCCCCCCCGGATACTTTTACATGTGTTTTGATGCTCACCTTTTGTGGGACGTCTTTGATCATGTCATACATGTCTGCCACCATTGACCTGGTGTATGTCGCAGTGAAAAGTGGAGGAGCATAGGCCACCTGCCAGAAACAATGTAACATTAGCTGTATATGACAGTAACTCAGACAAAAACAAAGTAAAGCTCTACGGCCGTGCTAGAGGTCCCACCAGGCTGCAATGTTAATTACTAGTGAACAACAATTGTTGGATGTGTCCATGAAAAGTAAGACAGCCCTGCTATTTTAGATCCTGACCACTTGCAAAACCTGAGGTCAAAACAGTGGAGAGATGGACTGAGCAGGTAAAGTCAGAGCTACAAAGCTGCTCTGACTGCACAGATTGGAGTGAATCTGAGGCTGCATCTACAGACCTGGATTAACACATTGACACTGTGACATCATACATCAGCTTTGTGAGGACATTTGCCCACCAAGACCTTCTGCACATACAACAACAAGCCCTGGTTCACAGTACGGCTCAAGCAGCTTCGTCGTGCCAAAGAGGAGGCATGGGGACAGGATCCTGTACAACCAGGCCAGAAACACACTGACAAGCATATTAGCTTTGCATTCATGATCATAATTGAATACTGATGGTAGAATGCAGCTAATAGCACTGCTGTGCCTACCTGTAAGTTCAGCCTCACACAGCACGTTAGTGTTTGATTCTAACCAAATCATGCAGAAAACACTTCCATTCAAGTAAGTGATTCCTTATCACACTGTGAGCATACTATACCTTCCACCCAGTAGACAAAGTCACATCTGAAAACTTCTCCTGGATCAACTGCAGAAATCTAGAAAAGGAGGAAGGAGAGTGGTTAGAAACATAGCGTATGTTATGGCATGGCAGTGAGTTAAAGAAACTACAATGCCTCTGATGTTTGCTCTGTATGTAAGCACACACGACAATTTGATCTACAGTACATGCTTTCTTTAGATTCCGTTCTGTTATTTGCTGTAGTAGTTTCAGGAACAACCGCAGTCGATCATGTACTGTATCTCTGAAACAAATCTGAAACAACCAGACAAAATGTATCTTGGTTGAATCTTTTTCATCTGGCAATATGACAATAATTAATCTATCCATTTTGTTATTCCTGAATAGGGTCACTGGGGGGGCTGGAGCCAATCCCAGCTGACACTGGGTGAGAGGTGGGGTCCACCCTGGACAGGTCACCAGTCTATCACAAGGCTGACACTTAGAGACAGACCATCACACACACTCACACTCACTCCTATGGGCAATTCAGAGTCACCAGTCAACCTAAGCTACATGTCTTTGGACTGTGGGAGGAAGCCGGAATACCCGGAGAGAACCCAGGTAGGCACAGGGAGGACATGCAGACTCACACAGAAAGGCCCCAGGTCGGCTGGGGCTCGGAACCTTCTAGCTGTGAGGCAACAGCGTGCAGATGATATTTCACAAGTAAATCAATAAATAAGCTTGTACAGTGCAAAGTTGTGAATAATATGGCACCCATGGCCCAAATACATAAAAGGTCAGGCTTCTCACCTGGTTCCATTAACTACAGGCAGGAAGCCTGGTATGTTGGGACCTTGGAGGATGTCTGCATTAAGCCACACGGGCCGGTTTATTCCTCTGCTGCTGTTTTTTTGAATAAGCACGTCTAATGACAAACCCACCGATTTCAGAGACTTAAAATCCAATTTTATGCCTGCAGAAATACAAACCTTGCTTTTAAAAAATAATTTTCAGATTTACATTAAAATAATACACAGAGAAATAGCAGTCATACAACATGTTTTCACAATGCGCCATGCATCTCAAATGGACCTACCACATATTATGTATAGATTTTTAAAGCATTATAACATGTAAATGTACAAACAAGCCAAATGATTGGATCTAGTCTACTCTGTTGCACTCTGAGTTAGTTTGAGGTCCAGAACCTTTTCTTGAGGCCAGCACTGCATCCAACCACTCCTCTAGAGTGTTATCACTATAGACGTCAGGGGGGTGGGCCATGATAGGAACTGGCTTCTCATTGGCTGTTCCATAACCCTCCAGAGTGACATCAGCCTCCAAGATCATGATTTCACCTGGGTTAGTGAGATAAGGTGCAACATTGGTTCAAACTGTACATTTAATGGAGAGTAATGCTGCTACTGCCACAGTAGAAAATGTAGACATTTTGCAGGTGGTCATTTTAATATCGACAAATAAATCAGCACAAGTCAGCATAGTTCTGGAAGAATACAGTTTGTGCATAAGTGTGTGTGTGTTCTTGTACTTGCTATATAGTGAGGATCAAAAATATATTTTTTTGCTACAGAATGAGGACATTTTGGCTGGTCCTCACTTCTAGAAACAGCTTTCTGAGGGTTAGGGTTGGCTTTAAGGTTCAGGTTAGACTTAGGTTTAGTGTTAGGGTTAGGGAAAGGCATTTAGTTCTGATGGCTAAGGTTAGGGTAAGGGGCTAGGGAATGCATTATGTCAATGTGTGTCCTTACAAAGATAGTAGTATGCATGTGTGTGTGTGTGTATTTACTGGCGAGAGCTTTGTTGATGTCCTCTTTGCTGTTGACTCTGTGAAACCAGGTAGCCAACAGGCCGTCAGGCTTGCTAATAACACCCGACTGGACGAGGAAGTCCAGCATGTCTCCACCAGTAGAAAATGAGGGAAGAGGAGCCGGGGAACCTAATTGGACACACATATGTGAGTATAAGACTGTAAGATCATTTCACCTCAAGCAATTCATGCAAAATCAGACATCATTTGTTGCATAAAACATGTTATAATCTAGCACAGGCAGTTTGTCTAATAATTGGGTTTACTTTAGGCAGCCTCAATTATATTTGTGTATTATGGTTTTGCAAGTTTTGTTTAAATAGATCTTCTTTCATTGGACTTCCTGTTGGAAATCAACAATTTAACAAATTAACAGACTGTATGAAAATGATTCAGGAAAGGTTTCAGAAAATGAAGTGGTGTGTGGATGTGTACAAGATCACCAAAATCTTAACACACTTGGCCAATAAAGCTTATTCTGATAAGGTAGTTAAACAGTGTATTAGTGGGCATTCAGAAAGCTGAGGGACTCGTGAGACAGTGGTTCAAGTTGAAGTATTAGAGGCTGAGATATCCTGCTCTAAAAAATGCTGGGCTTTCCTTATTGTAATCAGTAACATTTCTGTTATAGACTTTCCCTCCAGGGTAGTAGCCTGGGTTTGCAGGGATCCCATTATTAAATTTGTAGTTTCCAAGCACACAAAGCTCCCCCAGAGCCACACAGGCTGAGTTACACTCCTCATGACAAGGAAACTGAATTTTATGTGTAGAACTTGGTGTGCACCCTTAATTTTTTGTTTAAATCAGCAGGTATAGGTGTGCTGCAGCTACTTTGTGGGCACTTTGTGGTATGAAGTCATTGCTCTGTAGTAATACCTACTGTACGGTCAGCATAAAGCCCCAGATTGCCTGGTCATGATATAGCCTACATATGGTGCATTATCCCAATAAAATGAATTGTGTGTGTTATCATATAAATCTTCAATCAAACAAGGCTTTGGATAATAGAAAGATAAAGTTTCTATATGATAGTATACTAACACAGCAGTTGTTTTAGTATCCTGTCCTCTATGGCAAAATACACCTTTTACAGCTGCAGAACCTTGCATCAAATTACTGAAACTAGACAAATGTAGGTCTACATGTTAGTGTGACTTCGTCTGTTTCTTTAAATGTACACTTTAGGTAGACCTATACACTTCAAGCATCGAGGCCTACAGACAAGTGGCAAATTAAAGGAAAAACCTGAGCGCTCTCCTCCAGAATGACAGTGCCCCACCTGTAAGACACGAACAGTCACTGAATGGCTTGAGGAGTATGAAACCGATGTGAATCATATGCTATGGCCTTCACAGTCACCAGATCTTAGCCCAGTTGAACACCTATGGGAGACAGCGTCTCCACCACCATCATCAAAACAGCAAATGAGGGAACATCTTTTGTAAGAATGGTGTCCTTCCCTCCAGCACTGAAGCTGTTCTGGGGGCACATGGTGGCCCAGCACCTTACTGAGATAGTTTAGGATGGGTTTTCCTTTAATGTGTCGCTCAGCTTCAGTTAACACATAAGCTATTCCTCATTTCAACAGTTTAAAATCTTCTTTAAATACAAAAAATGTGCAAAAGTACCTTAAAATTACTATGCTGCCATGAAACATAAACATAAGGTAAGAAAGCACAGTCAAAGACTGGCCTGTTCTCTAAGGCTCCATCTTCAACTAATCTAAGAAGCACAGGCAGTCTGTTAGATATTTTAATCAATCAGAAACCACAACTGACTTCTAAATAAAATTATAAAGCTGCTTATTTTTAGCAAATCAAATACAATAACAAAACACAAACCAACAATAAGTATGTGTGTGCTTATTGTGGAGCCCTGAAGATTTATGAAGACATGGCCTGACATCCCCCTCTTTGGGGCCAAATAATGAGTAACCATCATTTAACTCGTATACTGAGCTTCCATATGAATGCTCGCCCATTCTTTGTCACATTTAATTGTGTATTATTGACTGTGATGGTTCCATTATGCTTTTGTGTCAAGAAAGAAACTTCCTTTTAACACAACAAATGAATATTCAGAGACAAAGTCAATAAAGACAGAACAATATGTACTTTTGTACAGAGGTGCTTTTGGACCCTCTCTTTAGGCTACAAGTTACTGTTAGCGCTACAGGTTTTCAAAAGCAATGGGAACAATTCAAATAATTTCTGCCATGACTCTGGCTAACCCTGCCATCATGATAGGACAAGGGACTCCGGTAAGAGCAGGAGGGGGACTATGTATTTAACACAATTGGTGTATGAACACAGTGACTGTAGACAGTCACTGCTCCCCAGACTTGGAGTATGTGATGCAGGCCTATGTACCTCCCAAGAGAGTTCACATACCACAACATAACAACTGTTTACATACCGCCGGATGCTAATGCTAACTCAGCTATCGGACATTTATATGGCAGTATTAGCAGTCAGCAGAGTAGATATCCTGATGCTGTGCACATCCTAGCAGGGGACTTCAATCATGCAGATTTAAAGAAAGTACTCCACAAATTCGACCAGCATGTAAAGTGTGCTACCAGAGGAGCTAACACACTGGACAAGATTTATTCAAATATCAAGCTAGGCTATAGGGCCAGACCACTACCACACCTGGGCCAGTCTGACCACTTGTCCCTGTTTCTAATTCCTGCATATGCCCCCAGGAAAACTGCTCCTACCATCACAAGGACTGTAAAAACCTGGCCTGATGGTGCCTCTCAGCAGCTACAGGACTGTTTTGATAGGACCAACTGGGATGTTTTTGAACATCCAGACCTGGAGGTGTTCACAGACAGTGTCCTGTGTTATATTAAGAACTGCATAGACACTGTTACTGTGGACAAATGCATCAGGGTCTACCCCCACCAGAAGCCCTGGATGAACTGGGAGGTTAAGTGGCTACTGAGAAAGAGGAACACAGCCTTCAGGACAGGTGACAGGGCTCTCTACAGCGCAGCCTGAGCTAACCTGAAGAGAGGCGTCAGAAAGGCCAAATTGGACTACAGGACCAAGGACCACCTGGACAGCAACAACAGCAGGCAGGTGTGGCAGGGAGTCCAGCATCTTACCAACCACAGGAATAACCTCGGTGCGGCTGAAGGTGACACCTCGCTGGGAGAGGAGCTGAACCTCTTCTTTGCCCGCTTTGAGGGGCAGCAACCAGATGCAGTCAATCTTCACCCTGTGGCCCACAGCGGCCCCACCCTCACAGTAGGGGAGCATAAGGCGAGGCGCACGCTGTGGGCCATAAACCTGAGGAAGGCTGCTGGACCAGACGGCATCCTTGGGCACGTGCTGAAGGACTGTGCAGACCAGCTGGCTGGAATCTTTACCAGGATCTTCAACCAGTCTCTGGCCCAGTCCACTGTCCCGCCCTGCCTGAAGTCCTCC